GAAGAAAACTTCAAAAATTAAAATATCTCTCTTCCCGAAAACTGATTTCCGATGTTTCTAGACAGTGCTGGTTCAAGTCTCTATGTGAAGTTAATTATTCGATTATGAGGATCTCATATGATTTTCTGAGAAAGTAGAGTAAAAATGCCCGATCAATTTGAATTTCAAACTATTCAGGTTTTAGTGGGTGCCTTTTTCTGCAGTAAATGCTCTGCCTTTGTCATCGATGGTCCCCCACGTATCCCTTTCCCCATCCTCAAGTTCTTTTAGATGTTAGCTTTGGCCAATTTCCCTCGTTATATTTTCGAAAACTTCTCATGTATTTAGATGAGCTACAGATTTTAAAATACAAGGCCTTCATGTTCGAGTTTAGTTTCTAACGAGACTCTCAATATTCGCGACTGATATATTAAGCCACAGTTTGGTTTTGATTTAACCAACAGGGATAATTAATGTTAAATCCATAAGGTCTTCAAATTATTGCTTTTGTTAATCTGTGGGCTACATGTTGCATGGCTAACCATTTTGCTCCAAAGATATATGAGCGACATCCAATTTTTCTTGGTGCTTTTTTAGCATGTCTTATCTGTCCCATACTGTGTTGTCCCCAACCATTGCACATAATGCCACTACCATATAATGTATCCCACATTCCCTTTTGATAACTTTTCCATTTCTTTTGTTTGATTTTACTTGCTTCCAATTATTGCTTTGGCCATCACATCGCTTGCACACACACATTATGCTATTCAACGAAAAAGGTAAAAGGGGAAAATGACAAGAGTCAAAGTTTTTGTCCTGAATGGAAAGAATGGTTTCTGATTTCTTATACTGTGTTGATCCTAGCATCCAAAGCAATGGGAAGAAAAGATTGAATTAAAAGGACAAAGGGAAAGAAAATTTTCTCGTGATTCTTGTCACTATATAACTTTTTTAATGCACATTTTTTTTCAATTGACAGGGTGCGGGAGCTGATGTAAACCAGAAACTCTTCAGAGGCTTTGCAACAACTGCAGCAGCGAGGGAGGGCCACGTTAATATTCTTGAGATCTTGCTTAAAGCTGGGGCATCACAGCCAGCTTGTGAAGAAGCTCTTTTAGAGGCAAGCTGCCACGGGCAAGCCAAGTCTGCCGAATTGCTCATGAGCTCTGATTTAATCCGACCCCACGTTGCTGTACATGCTCTTGTGACCGCATGCTGCCGGGGGTTTGTAAATGTGGTAGATACTCTCATAAAGGTACGTGTTTGCAGTATAAATCTTGAGGTTCGTTGTTGCGACGGTTCCAGACTTCCAGGTAGGAGATCATTGGGGCTGGGAAGGGGGAGTCAAAAACTTAATCAACGAATTTTTTTTTTTTTTTTGGGTACCTAAAAGTGAATCTATGGATTTTAATTTGGCAAAATAAACTAGAAGCTTACTTTTTTCGTTTGATTTGAATTCGTTTGCGACTAGGCCCCAACCTATCTTCTACTTTTTTAAAATTAGGGTTGAAATAAGTGCCACTTCAAAATACCCGAGTTCTTTATGATCACAATGGCTTGCATAACTTTTAATTTAACCATTAACACCAAAAAGAATGGAAGTAAATGAAAACTAGAGTATAAAATTATTAAAATATGCTTCTGTTGCGCGTCTTTTATTATTCTAAGTTCAAGAATTCATGCTCCCTTTTTATTTGTTTCTATTTTACGGTAAACCATACTTCCAAGTTCCAAGGGTTGGGTGGAAGGTTTTGTTAAACCCAAGGGCCATTGACGGCCTCATGGACATCTTTTTTGCGTTTGATTAATGTTTCTTAATATGGAAGAAATTTGTGCTGTCAGATTTTTTTTTTCCTCCTGCTCTTCACGGTTTTGTAAGCTTTTTAAGTGCCTATGTCAGGCGCTTTCATAAATTCTCTCTATGACACTTTATTCATTCTGTACTATTTTGCTAGAAAAGAAACTTGTATTATGAATTGTGTGCCTCTTAAAAGGGGATGTCTTGTCCAATTGACAGTTTCATGAGAGAAACTTGGGATAGCTATCTGCTATTTTTCTCCTGCCATTCCTAAGGGGAAAAAAATCTTGTGACTGAACTTAAGTAATATTTTCCATTATAGTACTTTCAACCCTTTCTTAAATACTTGTTTGCATGTGCTAAACTTAAGATTATCTTCTCAATGGCAGTGTGGTGTGGATATGAGTGCAGAAGATCGGGTACTTTTGCAGTCAGTTAAGCCTGCTCTCCACACAAATGTTGATTGTACTGCGCTTGTTGCTGCTGTGATTCATAGGCAGGTCCCCGTCGTGGCTTTGCTACTGCAGGTATTCTTTTCCCTTGCCCTTAAATATTTCCATTATTATAATAACATGGATAGATTCTATCCAAGAAACACACTCAGTTGGACAGTACATGATGTTAATTCTTAAGTGCTTAATTTCAGTTTCCACATGAAAGATAACCCCCCTCCCTTGAATTTACCTCTTTTAGGTTGTGGCACTGTTAAGATTTATGGTCATCTTTGATAATTTTTATTTATTAATTTGTGTAAATTAGGGGGCTTTAACCCTATATGACTTTACTTTTAACATTAAAAAATGAACTACAGAATGGTGCAAGGATGGACACCAAAGTAAGGCTAGGAGCATGGTCATGGGATGCAATAACGGGTGAAGAAATTCGCGTCGGTGCTGGACTGGGAGAAACTTATGCCGTGACCTGGTGTGCGGTTGAGTATTTTGAAAAAAGTGGTGCTATACTGTTCATGCTCCTGCAGAATGTCTTCCTCAACAACCCTCACGATGGAAGAACCCTTTTACACCATGCCATTCTTTGTGGCAATGTTGAGGGTGTTAGGATACTCTTGGAATGCGGCGCTGGTGTTGAATCCCCAGTTAAAACAACTCAGAAGACTGAATTCCGTCCATTACACATGGCTTGTCGTCTTGGCTTTTCAGAAATTGTTCAATGCCTCATTGCCTTCGGTTGTGATTTGAACTCTATTACACAAGCTGGTGACACGGCTTTGATGATTTGTGCAAAACATAAACAAGAAAAGTGTCTCAAAGTACTCACAGTGGCTGGTGCCGATTTTGGCTTAGTCAATACTGCTGGGCATTGTGCAAGTTCAATTGCTGATTCAAACCAGTGGTCACTTGGTTTTCAGCAGGCATTACTGGATACAATCAGAAAAGGAAAGATGCCCACATCCAGCAATGTCTCTGTGTTTTCACCCCTTTTATTTGCAGCTGAAGTTGGGGATACGGAGGCATTGAAAACTGTAATTACTTGTGGAGGATTCGATCTTGACTATCAAGATGATAATGGATTCTCTGCTGTTATGGTTTCTGCCTTGAAGGGTCATGTGGAAGCTTTTCGGTTGCTTGTATATGCTGGAGCTGATGTAAAGCTATGCAATAAATGTGGTGAAACAGCAATTGCTCTATCTGAGTTAAATCATAATCACGATTTATTTGAAAAAGTCATGCTTGAATTTGCACTCGAAAAGGGCAATCGCAACGCTGGTTTCCATGCTTTACATTGCGCAGCTCGTCGTGGTGACTTGGATGCTGTGAAATTGCTCACTGATAAGGGTTATGACGTGAATGCTCTTGACGAGGAGGGCTACACTCCACTCATGTTAGCAGCAAGTGAAGGCCATGGTTCCATTTGTGAGCTCTTAATTTCACACGGGGCTTGTTGCAATACCAAGAATGCTAGAGGAGAAACTGCACTTTCACTTGCAAGAACATTTACTGGAGGTAAGAACGACGCACAGGCTGTCATACTCGACCAGCTTGCTCGTGAATTGGTAATTGGTGGCGCCTACGTGCAAAAGTATACCAAAGGTGGCAAAGGCTCTCCTCATGGCAAAAAAATACAAATGTTGGGATCTGTGGGAGTGCTCTGTTGGGGTAAGTCAAGCCGGAGAAATGTAATATGCCGGGAGGCAGAGCTGGGGCCAAGTTTATCTTTTTGTAGAAATAGACACAGAAGAGGTGATGCTGACGTTCCAGGAATATTTAGGGTGGTCACTATCAAGAACAAGGAATTTCATTTCTTTTGTGACGGGGGCTCTGAAGCTGCTGGGCTTTGGGTGAGAGGCATAAAACTTGTAACCAGAGAGGCTAAATTTGGTAACCAGAGAGGTATATAGATAGTGTTGATGTGAATATATAGGATGTATGTTTGGAGCAATACTTGATCTCAAAGTATGAAGCTACTTTTTATTGTAAAGATTTTGATCTCCATCAGTTGTAAATGTGCTACTTCCTCTTTTGGTATTGTTTCTGCTGTTTTTTGGACGACGGTATCGTTTCTTCCATCATCTGTTCTTTTGGAATGCGGATATTAACATCTAAATGCAACTTTAGAAAGCTACAATATAAACGGATAAAAAACGAAGAATTTTGCAAAAGATGCTTCATTGTCGTGATTTAAAAATTTGCAATGAAAATCTATATTTAAATAATAAGGACTTAATTGATAGTAGAGGACTAGAGGCAAATTTAAAAGGCCAAGTTAATCAAAATTAAATTTAAGAGAGCAAAAATCATAACTAAGTCTAAATAAATAATTAGTAGTTTCATTATCCCTAACCTAAATGCGTATGGCTAATTATCTAACTTAATCTCTCGCCACAAAAAAAAAAAAAAATCCCAACACCAAATATACACACTCCCTCTCTCTGTTTTTTTTTTTTTTTGGGTCAATTAGTCATGAAGTTTTTCTTAATCCTCTGTGTAAGTTAATTTTTTTCTTATTTTTTGTAATTTTTTATGTACAATTTCAAAATTATCCTCATACAAATTTTAAAAAGAAGTATAATATTTTAATTTTTTTAAAAAAATCAAAAGACTATTTTTTAAAATTTAGGGATAAAATTAAAAAATAATTTATTTTTAAAATAATTTTATTATTTTAACTAACTAATCAAAAAGTGATTTATAGAAGGGGAAAAAAAAGGGAGGAGTGTGTGTGTGTGTGCGCATTTATATTTTCGTTTGAGCCTTCGCCCCGGTGCCTAAGCACCCCAGGGGCCAGACGACCGTTTTTTAACAAGCCATTTCCTTCACAGCAGGCAGCAGCAGCTGGCCTTCCATAATTCCAAGCTCGAACTCTGAAACAGAATAGGAAAAATTGGAGAAGCGAAATATAGACATGTGCTACTCCAAGTGTCTCGTTTCTAGAAAAGGTGCCATATGGGTTGCGGCTTATTGTTTCAAAAAGCTCAAGAAAGCTCAGGTCAAAGAGACTGACATTTCGTCCTCCGTGGGTTTGTCTTCTTCCCTCTATCTCTTCTTTCTCGTTCGCTTTAATCAGTAAGCGTATTTGGGGGGTTTTAGGGGAAAATTTTGAAAGAATACACTTATTCACTCGAAAAACCGAAGTGTTTTTACACGGTTTCATTTCTAGCCCTTGCGCAGCGTCTTTTCTTTTCGAAGAAAAGCGAATGTTAATTGTTCTGTTCATTTCCCGTTTGTCAAACATTCAGGAAGAGTAAGTGGGGGCACCGCACCCTGACATTTTTTTTTTTGAGTGTATGAAATTGGCATCTACTGGGATTTTTCTATATGGGATTTGCCTTAAATTTGTTGATTTGGATTTGTAGCTTATATATTCTCGTTTATGATTTTTGGCTTTGTTCTTCACCATGAGGAACGATATCAACCATGGAAGGCATCGGCATATGCATTCTATTGTGTGTTAGATGCTGAATATTTGATCCCAGAGAACTTTTGGTGTAGCAGAACAATCTAGGGTTTTAATTAGCCGTAAAACGTGAATGAATATTTGCAGACCTCGGTTGGCATTGTCCTCTACAAATGGGGGCAATACACACACACACACAAATGTAATGAAACTCAATTTTGGTCATAGTCTCATACTGGTGGAACATGTTTTTACTATCTCTTTTGTTTACCTTAGCAGCCTATATTCTTTTTATACTAATCAATGCTCCATCCCCCCTTAATTGTAAAATTTAAAACACAATTATCATTGATTCCAGGTAATAGCTTTTATATCATTTGCAAGAAAGATTGGGCAGTGTCACTTAGTTCTGTGTTTATACTAACACTTGAAATCCACTGATCTTCCTCCCTCCAAATACACAAATTTGCATAAAATCCTATCTATTAATTTGACCATTCACAGGATTTGAGAGGTTCTGCTAGAAGCTACATTATTGCCTCCACATGTACATATTAGTTCAACTGGCAAACTATACTGAATTCTATTATGAAAAATTAAGAAAGCTTTGTGGGCTAATTTTGGATTTTTTTAATATATATATATATATATATATTCATTTTTTCCCATTTTGCTGTTTTATGCAGACAAAATCTTGCAAGATGAAATGAACTTTGACTCATATAGAGTGACTTCTTATCTTCTTCTTGGTGTCGTCAAAATATATTCAAAGAAGGTTGAGTATCTACACCATGATTGCAATGAGGTGCTCATCAAAATTAAGAAATTTACAATTGATACACAAAAGAATGCTCGTAAGGAAACCTTGCGTATGTCTATTACTGTACCAGACAGATTTGAACTGGATGCTTTTGATTTGGAGATTGTTGAAGATGATGGCTGGTAAACTATTCTTTTGCTATAAAAGTTTAATTTGTTATGGATTTTTTTAATAAAAATTTTGGAATTTATAAATATTTCATTAAATCTTCTGTTAATTCAGGGGCAATATTGCTCCCAAGGAGGACATCACTCTTAAAGGTATATAAAATTATGTAACAAATTTTCCTTTACATTTTTGTCTTATTCTATTGTTATATGTGATGCAGTATGATATTTTACAGATGTTTTATGGAAAGATGAGGGAATTGGACAGTTTTCTCTAGACAAGGTATTTCTTACTATTTTCTTCCTATATATAACTCTAGTTCTTAAAATTTGTCAAATCCTTTCAGCCTAACATGAATGATGTGCCTTGCGTTTTTTATTTTTCAACTGTTAGTGATTTATTTATTTCCATTAGCAAATTCTCAATCAACTTTTGTTGGTGAGTCCTCTCTTTTTTCCTTTGTACCTGCAAATTGATTGTCTGATGAATTGTCATGTGCAAACTTTGATATTCATGATCAATTTATCAATTATTTCATGCTAGCGTCAAGCCACTATACCATTTTTTTTTAAAGAAATGTTCATTTACAATAATATCAAAAGTATATAGATCCTACTTTCCATTCATACTTATACTTCCCTAGTGGTCTCTTCTGAAGTACCAATATCTGGTTGGATGGTTTTATATGATGCTTGCTAATAAAGTTATAATATTGTGCAGCAACTGTAACGAGATCAGTTTGGAAATTGGAATCACATACAGGGTGTAGGGCCTGAGCTAATCTTATAATAGATGAAACTCTTGTCAAATGGACCATAATGTGACACTTATTGATGGTTGACATTGGCATATTTTTAATTGTTTAACTTTACATGGGAACAGCTTTGGTTTTGTCTATGTCTGTTGTGTGAGTAGTTTTTATTATTATTTTTTGGATTGTTGCCATGCTTAATACCTTCCATTTTCTCACTTGCAGTATCAATATGAGGAGTCTGATTTCTGTCAAAATTCCTGCCCTGCTGATCCTCTTATTCTGGAAGAGTATGTCAACTATATTTCATAAATCAATTTATTGAGGACAACTGAAATTTCTATTTAGTCACAGTATGCTGATTCTGAATCTTTACATTTTATGTTATCCTATGAACTGATATGATTGTGCAATAAGCCTTGCAGTTTTCAACAATCGCAACTGATGGACAACTATGAGGTCAGCCCACCAAATAGTCCAATTAATTTACAGGTAAGAAAGGATAAATTTCAAGATAGGTTATTCTCTGAGGAGATATCAGTGAATTTGGACTCCATTTTTGGAGTTGAAGGAGTACGCACGGATCCTATCAAGTTATCTATTCAAAATCAACAAATTGACAAAGAGCAGACAATTGCAGAAACTGCACCATATGAAGATGATATGCATGATGAAAGAAGTTTGGAGAAGATTATATCATGTGGGATCTCTCAAGAGGAGCTTGAGGATGTCAGAATGTTTACTAGGAGGGAGGAGGGACCTGAAGTCTCTGTTGCTGTATCCCGTCAAGTTGGTGAAGAGCATATTAAGGCCAGGGAAACAGCAAACTTAGAATGCCAAATTCATCAAGAAATTGGAGAAGTTCATGTGGCAACAAGTCCTCCTAGAAGCATGGAAGGGCTTCAAGATGACAAATGCAATAAAAAAGAATGTTTGGAAGATGGCAGATCTTCCATTGCCAAGGAGAAGATTGAAAAATTTGTGGTAGAGTCTGCTGAAAAACATGATAATGCAGGCGAACTAAAGTTACTAGAAAAAGATTCAAATAAAGATGGAAAATTTGGTGAAGAGAAGATTAAGGTTAATGAAACAGCAAACTCTGAATGCCAGGTGCATCTGGAAATTGAAGAATTTCATGAGGCAAGGGATTCACCAGTCGGCATGGAAAGGCTTCAAGATGATATGTTCAATAAAAAAGATTGCATGGACCCTGATAGATCTTCATCTGCCAAGGAGAAGGTTGAAAAACTCGTTGAAGGGTCTGTTAAAAAGCATCATAAGAAAGGCAGATTAAAGTTACAAGAAGTTTCAGTTGAAGTTGAAAAGTTTCATATTATTCCACCAGAGTCAAACATTCTTGATATAACTCCCCAAACCAAGTTTCAAAATGATTCAGTTGCAAAACCAAAACAAGGTTTTTATGACAATTTTCCACAGAATCCTGAAAATACAAATGCTGAATATTTTTTATGTATTGTTTATTCACCTGCTCAAAGTTCTTTTTTTCTTTGGGGGATGGGTTATCATAGCAGGTGCTACTATGCTGGAATCTATGCATATTTCTACACCAGCTGTGAAAGAGCGTGCTCGCTTTCCAAGGAAAAGAAAATGTGTTTTTGATGGATTGATAATCTTGCCTAATGAGTATGTGATAATTAATTTAGATAATCTTCTTGAACACTCTTCTAGCCTTCTTTCAACCATTTTGTCTTGATATTACTTCATGTTTGAAGCACTTTTGTTATGCCATTGTATGGAATACAAGTCTTGCAATAGATATTATCTATGTCCATTGCCCAAAGCTTGATCAAAAGATAGAGTTGGCATCCGTCTTGGGAGGATAAACTATTTGGAATGCATATTGAGTTTTGCCAATAGTCATGTTGGAAGTCAAGGTTGTTTTACATCTCTGAATTTAAATGGAAGATCCTATGGCAGTCAAGTTATTTGATAATCGCAAAATGTTGTGCATCTTTATGCTTTACAACGTGTGGTATGAGCAACAACTAGTTTTACTTTGAGTAATAGATGGGGAGGAAAAATTAGTCCATTCACTGTTTTGATCCTTTTTATTCTTTTGGAGAATACTGACATTTGCAATTTTTTCTACCTCTCTACTCATTTCTTTTGAAGCTGCCCTCTTTTTTGCATGCACTAGCTGTAGCTCGTGTGATCTACCTGTAACTGGATAGCAGCTACTCAACTTGTTATATTATATACTGAATGTATATTTAATTCAGATATGGACTTTCAACTCTTGGGATATTGCTTGAAATAGTGATACCTTGAAATTTGACTAAATGAGCCCTATGCATATGGAACTGTCTTAGGGTGCTTAGACAGAGCATACATGACACAAGCGACTTAATTTCCAAACGGAGAAAAGTTCCCTGTCCCGTAATTGCTGCTTGGAAAGCATCTCGGGTTTCCAGTCTTCCTGAGGGGTTCTATGAATCTTTGCTGCCTTGTGAGTTCAAAATTTATCATTTGTTCTTTGTTTATATAGTCTGCTATCTTTACGAACCTTTCTTTTTTGCAGGTCATTCATTAGAGCTCCAAATCCTGTTCTCTAAAAAGAAAATCAAGATGTTAAATTCCATTAAAATTGTGGAAACTCCAGGGAAGTTAGATGAATCAGAATCTCAAACTGTTGACAAGGTAGAGCATAGTGAGCCTGCTCCAAATACCCCTCCTCAGTGCTCAACATCTCGACCAATTTATTTTCAAGACAGCAAAGAAACTACAAGCTCGGACAATATAAGACCTTCAAGTCCATATGAATGTATAGAGAGAAAGAAATCTTTGAAAAGGGATGGAGAACTTCATCTGGTGAAAGAGGTAATGAATAATTATTATGGGAACTTTGAAAATTCTGTTATTTACTCAATTGGCTCACAGTAATAATGGTAGTTTTAGACGCAACAGTAATTATTTTTACAATTCACTAGTGAACCATTTTGCAGGGTAATTTGGAAACTTCTAGTTGGCATGCAAGCATAACAGGAGAACAATATTTAAGAAAGGATGAAGAACTTGATTTGATGATTGAGGTAAAGAATAACTATTATGGGATTAATGTTAAAAATTGTTGTTTTACTAGGTTAGTCTAAAATAGGTTGCAATTGTCTCTGCTAGTCATCCTATGAACTATGTTGCAATGTAGTGTTTTATGTTGGAGTTTGTTTGAAATATTTTCTTCGGAAAAAATTGATTACATCTCAGGATTGACTTCTTAAATTGCACCCACTTCTTTTGAGAAGAAAATGCATATGGGTGAACCTTTAAGATAGTTTGGATGACATGTTCCAAATATGAAGGTAATATCTAAATAGGTTATCATAAAGTATGTTTGATGTAAAACACACACTCGCATTAATTTGAACAGAATAGGATGAGGAAGAAGAAACAGAATCAGAGAGTGAGCGGTGAAAGGGGAGCAAAAACAGAGGGGAGAGATGACAAAAAACAGAGAAAGCAGGGGAAGAGGAGTGGAACGCAGAACTGATAGGTAGGGGGAGTAGAAGGAGAGAGACGCAGAGCTGAGAAACATTCACAAAATTCAGCTATTCATTCATTCAAAATCTAAGAACTCCCTTATATGTGCTGCATGGTGGCTTTTTATAGAAGCCACAATTAAGGTTTCCTTCTTATGAAGGAAACATAAAATGAAATAAAATATAAGCTTGATTTTTCCTTTCCTATAAGGAAAGCTCAACTTGCAGATTTAAAATATATAAAGAGTAAAAAAAAAAACAAAAGCATGTCAGGTTTCCTTTCTTAGAAGGAAACTTACAAAATACTAAATAATGCAAAAATAATTATTTCTTTCTAGAATAACATTTGCCATATTTTCTATCAATGTTTTTAATTTAAATTTAGTGGTTGAAATATCTAAATCTCAAGATAGTGATTTCAAGCGTCAAAGCTAAATCCCTATGGTAATTATTACTTTGTGGGGCTAAGAGGTTCATTATTTAGTTTATTTTTCTTTTTGTTCTTGACTGTGCTGAAAATTAATTGATGCTTTTGTCAGGAGACAAATTCAATTGAAACAGAGAATTCAGACTTATGTAAGAACTCTTGCAGATTCTCATTATTAACTTGCTAAATTTTATTGGTCAAATTCTGTGCTCTCTCTAAAATGGCCTGGTTTCTTGATTCTTTTCTTTACTACAGGTGGATGGTCTAGGCGAACGACGTAAGTTGGTTGTTACACTTGGAATGTCTTATGATTGTCTATAATTTAATGTTTGTTTTCAATACTGCTTGATGCAGGAACTCGCCAGATACTTGCAATATTTGTCTATTGACTGGCTGCTGTTTGATATAGGAAAGTTGCCAGATACTTGCAAAGACATTTTCTGGATCTAGGGAAACAAAGAGAAGAAAACGTTCTGAATTTTTCACAAGTTTTGCTAGGACGGGCTAAGAAAGATTGTGCAAGGCTATTTTATGAAGTATTGGTATGACCAGTTTGCGTCTTAAAGTTATATTTATGCTCATGACAATGTCTTAGATGACTTTTCATGCGGCAAACTTTATCCATTTCTTGGCCAGAAATGAGACATATGGGTTAGTTTCCGGTGATTTTGAATTTTCACCTCTTGAAGGGAAGAGTATCTATCTCTATCATCAATTATCATTGGTGCCGTGTTATCTGATTACACAACTGTGAAAAGTTGAATCTTGGTTTTTTGTTTGATTGGTGATCTTGAATATGAATTGATGGAAAGAATGCATCGATAATTCTGAAGACGTGATTTGTTTTGAACTCCTTTTGCTCTTGGCGTAATTTAGTTATTATGACATCAGTGTCTTATGGTAACGTAAAACAAATTGGTTTGACATACGTTTCATTATGGGATATTTTCATCACTGTACCATGTTGATGCTTCAATGGCTTCATCAAGGGGGAAAACAGATTGGGAGAATTTTCAGCCCATTCTTAGTTAGTAGAACGGCATGTTCACAATGTGATTGTGCCTCGAAATTGACTGTTCTTGAGTAGGTTCTTTTAGTGCTGTTTTCTGAGCACTACCCTTGCCAGAAGAGGAAAGGAACATATAGTAGCATTGATCTGTGTGTAACGGTTTTGCAGGTTTTGAGAACTACTAGTTGTTTGGATGTAATGCAAAATAATGCTTATGGTGATATTTCCATCCGGAAACTCTCGCAACTGGATCAATCTTTTGGAGTTGACGAGCTGTAGAATCACAGATAGAGGTAATTTGTTAGAAACAACAAGTTTACTCTTTATTTATAATTTTAAAAAAATAAGAGAGTTGTTTTGGGGTTTGTTTAAAGGATATTCTACTATTTAGCATTTTATTTTATTTCCTTCGTGTGTACTTTTACACACATGCACATCTGTGCGTATCGGTTGCTGAGGATCTTTCTTTATTGGAGAACTACCTGACTGCTTTTACAGACATGATTGCTAATGGTTTCCGTATTTCTTTTGCTCCTTGTCTAGTCTTGTTTCTTGGAGTAGCAAAAGGCAAAGACACAATAGGTTCACAGTAAAGCATACAAGGAGATCAGGCCACACCAAGTGCCGCTGAAGACGGCTTTTGGTATAGGCGATCCTCAGATTTGTCAGCTTCAGATCTAATCTTTCATGCTACAACAATAAGCAACTTTCTGATAGCGCGACACTTCTGGATTGCATCTGCAGCTAAATTGATTGGAGAGGAGTTTTGGAAGTAACAAGTTAATTGGAATGTAGGGGTTTAGGTATATATTGAAAGGGACGATTTCACTATACATCATTATTTGTGTTCTTAGCTTGTTTCTTAGCTAATTCTAATGTGTGGTTATTAACTTATATGCCGTAGGATCCATGTAAAGTTGACAGGCTCCAATATATGCAGGAAGCCACTGAGTTTCCTAGCAGGGAATGTTTTTCGGCCTCTCTAGAACTTGAACCTGTCTTATGAGTCATATTATTCACGTGGCTAGCTTTCTGCAACTATTGGTGATTCTCTGTTTTCACTTTTCGAAATAGGAGTAATTTTTGTCTTTCACGATTTCATCCTTCATCGGATAGTACGAAAGGATCGATAATAATCCAGGGAATTTACATTTATGGACCCAGAATTAAAATAGGATTATTACATGCAAAATAATCCATATTATCATCAAATGCGAAGTGCGTTGCCTATAATCGCACTATTTACAAACGTAGATACCAATAAGTGGGATTAAACTCACGACTTTTCACTTATTGGCAAAGTTATATGCCATCGGATTATAACGCCATTGGCCTCGTTGTCACACTCTAGTAGTCAAGCTTGGCTCCTATGACTACAAACGATTAAAAAGTGAGGAAAAACAAGAATAGGGGGTCATACGCATTGGGATATGCGTAATGCGTCTGTGATCTGTCTCAGCATGTTTTCTTTTGTTTTTCATTTTCTTTTTTTGGTCAAAGTCTGCGTCAACATGTTGATTAACCGTGTGTCTATGAAACTAGGAAAGCATTTGCGGGGCCTTGTCTCGATTTGGTACGTAACTAATTGCTTTGGATGTTATGTACAGATAAGAACGTCTTACATTTCCTTTGTTTTTCATGCCACTTGAGATATAGAATTATACTTTCATAAAATAGTTGAGTATATTAAGAGGAGAGACCAATTAGGGGAATGAGTGAAGATTCGCAAGATAAGAATTCAGACGAAGCATCAAACGGAGGAATATTTTAAGGAAGGGCAGTTTCGTAAATCCACAGGGGAGGGTTCATTTGGTTATAGTTTGCTGGCTGAATGGGCGTTGCATTTCGACGTGTCTTGGCGACTCTTCCTTCTCCTTCGTGCTTCTCCAGACATCTAGGCGTTGACGTTGGTGCTCCTCTGTGAAATCGAAGTTCTTAATCTCTCTGATTCAAACCTGTCTCGTCTCAAAATCTTACCTAGGTACACTTACTTCCAGTGCTATTCATAGTTTCTGTTTCTAAATTCTAATTCATGTCAACACCATCAAACCTCATACTGATTATAACGTTTCTTTTCGTTTCTTTTGTAACCTGCTGATATCCACATTGAAAAAGGCGTACAGTCATGTAAATGATTACTTGATAGAACAGTTACCACAACACAATGGCACAAAAGAAGAAAACCTCTGTTGTCTGTCGAGAGAACGAGGATCTGTATGTAATTTTGTATAGAATTTGAGGATCTAACTGCACAACAACATCGCGAAATATTGTTTTCTGATTATTTATAATAAAGCTTGAGAACATGTGTTAGGTTTTTATAACAGAGACTGGATATAAATTTGTAAGAGAAAAGAGCATCCCCTGTTATGCAATCCATATATAGTAAGCAGCACACAAAAACTAAGGTGTAGAATCTTCAGCGTATATTCAAAAAGGTCGGCGAACGAGAAAAACAATAATTGAAGGGTTAAAAAAAAAGTCAGAGTTGCATATTAGAGATTCGTGGTCGTTTGACACGTGTGGATTGTGTGTTATTAAAAAAAAAAAGACGATGAGTGAATCCGAAATTGATGGTTTTATTTATCTTATTTATGTTGTATTTATTTATTGGATAAGGTGATGAAATGTGTGAGTGAATGTCAGAGATGGACATGCTCCGAAGGTTTTGGAACAGCCCGATCGGACCAAAAACAACTCATTTTTGGGGCCCTACCTTCAACTGGAGCCTACCCATAGCGGTATATCATTCTGCGTCTTTGACTTTCATTTTTGAAATAAATTATCATCTGTAACATCTATGCTCTCTCTCATCTTATTTATAGATTTTTTTAACATGTTTTATTGTAATTAAAGAAAATTAAAATTAAATTTTTTATTAAAAAATAAAATTTATTAATCTTGTCTAAAAATTTAATAAGTTTTTTATTTCATCATAATTAAATATAGGGATGATCTAACTTTTAGTTCTTCCAATTTATCTCAATTATTAATTTGGTCTCTTAAATTTAGTTTTTATAAATTTAATTCGGTAAGTTTACTTTGGTTACTGATTTAATATTTATTGCTTAAAAAAATATTACACTGTTAAAATTTATTGACATGAATAATAGGATATACATGGTAGTTATACACAAATTAATAAAAAGAAGTATAATTATTTAGGTAGAAAAAACAAATCCTCAAATTTTAAAAAACAATAAAACAAAATATAGTATAAGGGATTATATTGATAAAAGTTAAACTAATTTGAAGGTTAATTTGTTTTCATTTAATTATATATATATGACAACTTATCAATATACTTTACACATTAAGTTATTTTAAAAGTTAATTTATATTTTAAAATTTAAAAGACTCACATCATAATTTAAAAAAATATAAGAGACTAAATTGATAAAAATTAAACTTAAAAAATTAAATTGATAATTGAGACAAACTCTGAAATTAAAAATTTTATTATCCCTTAAATTAAATATACATATTGATATGATTGGTATTAGGGTAAAAGAAAAATCTATAATAAAAAGTTGATAACATGGCGGAGGGAGAATTTAGTTGCAACTATCAAATACACTACTTTGTTTTGAATTCTATATAGGTGGGAATACGAGGAAAAATTAACAAAAAAAGGTTGGGGGTAGTTTGTACTTTTTTTAAGTTTATATTCCTGAAAAAGGAAATGTATAAAAAATTATGAAATCCATAAAATTTTTGAATTCTTTACCTTCCGTCACTCAATCGACAGAAGAAAAATAGAAAAGAAAAAAAAGGGGGGTGAAGAAGGAGGACTTAGGAAAAGGGATTTAGCTCACATGTAGTAAATTTTGTGTAGGAGATGGAAAGTGGGAAAATCCTGACCATTTATTCTATCTAACGTTTAGGAAGATAGAGGTGCATGAAAAGCCTTATTTTCTGAAAAGCACACAAGCTTTTTTAATACTTTTTAAAACCTATTTCTTCATAATTCTTTAGCATTTAAATTGTGAAGTAAGTTTTTTATTTTTTAAAAAAAGTAAAAAAATAATTTTTTGTTAAATAGAATCCACACTCTGCATCCACAGTGAAATAAGTTTTTTTAGGATTTAAATTATAAAGTATTTTTTTTATTGTAAAAAAAAATATTTATATGCTTTGCAAATGATAAAGCATTTTGCTCACCTCTCTCTTTCTAACTATTAGATAGAAAGAATGGTTGGGATCTTCCTACTTTCCACCCACTGCACAAAGTTTGTTGCATCTGATCCGGATCCTAAGAAAAGAGAAGTCGATGGAAAAAATCAAGTCATGATGTAAATATATATATATATATATATATATATAACAAAAGGAAAAAATTATTTGGATTACAAATGACAGTGAAAGTGGTATAAAATAACAGGCAGCAGTGGACACCAAGAAACCCCCAGAAATGATCTCTCTCAACATGACTGCAGGTTAAGTTCCGTTTGATTGTTTGTTTGAGTGCTTTAATTTCTGATGCAATGTTAATTTTTACTTTTAATTAAAAATTGGATGTTAAGGTTAATTGGAATATGATTAGTGGAGGTTATTAAGTATTAATTAGAAATTTGTTGGTGTAGTGATGTGCGTGTATTCGGCAATGTTCATGAGGTTTGCTTGGGTGGTACGGCCTCGTAACATTCATCTAATGGTATGCCATATCTCTAATGAGACTCTGCAACTCTATCAGCTCTCTAGGTACCTCTCTGCTCCCAGGTATTTATGCATATACTTCACTTGTTTCGTTTATTTATTTCTCAAATTCATTCAGTAGTACTCTTAACACAATTTTTTATATTCCAAATATGGATATTAATTTGACTCTGACCCCAGCAAAAAGGTGAAATTTGTTTTTTAAATCTTTATAATTTTGTTCAGTTTTAGTTTAGTATCTTTATAATTTTTCTTTTTTCTTTTTGATAATCTAGTGTCTTCATAATTTTTGTTTTGGAACCAGATGTACATCATCTTAAATCAACAAAGTATGAATATTTCAAATTAAAAACATTCAACTAAAAATTTTTAACTAATAAGGATGAAAATAATGATTTGATGAGTGAAATTATAGGAATTAAAACTATACTATAAGCATATATAACAAAGGAGAGGCTATTTAATTTAAAGTCATTTATCAAAACCGTGTACATGACTTATGACTACGTGTAGGCAGCTGGAGCAAGAAAAAGAGGAGGAAGCAGGTGCTAAGTGAACCTCGGATAAAATATTTGTTCCTTTCATTGGATGTAATTTTCCATTTTGGTTAATGATCAGTGTGCCTAAAAAATTGCTATATTGTCTATCTTTAATTTCCTTGTAATTGAATTCCCCGTTGACTTTTTATAATTTTATAGATATCACGCCTCGCTTGGGCTGTACTTTTTATTATTTGAAACTGCGTGATCTCTTTTATTTAATATTGATATTGATGAGACGCCAGAACCCAGAATTGCATCTTTGCATAAACTAAAGAAGAAAATACAATTTTGTGTATGACATCTATCTTTCTTATAATGGAAAGCTGCCCGTTTCTATGTTTATTCTCAACATATTATACACAACCATTTTATTGACATAGAACGTCAAAAATTTTTACATTGCACATAAAACTACTGTTGGCCAAAACAAAAAAACCGTACGTAACTCTATTAAATGATAAACTGTTCTGTTATACATACATCTACTAAAATTGCTTTCTGAAGAGGAGCAACTCACAGTGGATATCATACGGTTCTCAAATTTATGCGTCTCTCCATTCTCTATTACATTCAGCACTGCCTCTGACATGTCACTGGCTAGTGTGGAGGAGTCCTTTTGGAAAGCCTGAAGTATTAAGCCAAAAAATGCAAAATCTAGTTAGAGCAGAATTGTGCAAATTGATATAAAATGTCAGGGTTTGTTTGGTGTGAGTGAAAATTGGAAACACCAACAAAAGTTAGCAATGAATGAAGATATTGATTATTTTGTCTCCAATTCTCTCTTCAACTATGCAAATCTGAAGTGATAAAAATATCAACGAAAAGACAAACCCACAAATCCAAAGCCTCCAAGCTTGAAAGTTTTTCCTGCTTTGGCGAAGCCTGCGCATGAGTACCTAGCAAGGAACACTTTAGCATGCGGAGCAACAAAGAAAGCTGCTTCAATTTCCTTGTTCTTAAAGGCTGTAGGGTATTCACTAATGGAATCTATTTTCCGAATATTCTCAGGCTTAAATTTTAGTGCCTCTGTCAAATATGTCACAATAAATGAATTTCCATTGCACCCAATAGGGGCATTTGTCCTTTGAAGGGTATCGACATCTAACACAGATGGTTCAAGCTGCCTGATGGTCATCATGGATGTCAAACTGGTTGTAAAACTTGTCGTGAGAATAAGGATTATGAATAACCATGGTGCCAACACAACTCGAGCCAAAGGGTGTTTGATTGATTCTCCTGATTATCAGAGATATATCTAAAATTAGAAGACAGCTGAAAAGGACTTTTGAAGTAGAGAAAGAAAATAACTGACTAGGATCCATGCTTTTTGATAAATAGGGAATGGGCTTTCTAAGTTTTGACTTCCATCTTAGCCGTGACTTAAAAAAAAAAATTCTGCAGGGCAAACTGAAGCAGTGCGTTATGCAATCAGCCTCACACTGATATGATTATGTAAACCACCGACATTTTCTGCAAATGAGACTCGTTAAGTTTGGTATGACAATTAATTACTCCCTCCACTTTTATATATATATATATATATATATAAAATTATATTACACAATTTGAGAAAGTTAATTAACTGTAACAATTATGTGTGAAAATTAAAAAAAAGTAGATTAAAATATTTTGTGTTAATCAATATGAGCAAACATTAATTGTTTAACATTAATATAAATTATAAGGGGTGATTTAAGAAATGTGTAATAAATACTTATTAAAATGGGTGACTTTGCTTACAAAAAAGAGTTAATATGCAATTTAAACCCTAAACTATAGGTTTAGGGGTGATTTGAATCCTAAAGTTTTAAAACGGTGCATTTTCAACCCTAAACAATTAAAGTTGAGGTAATTTTACCCCTACTATTAACTTTTAACAAACGTCCATCAAATTTATTTACAAAAATTACACTTTAGGCCCCAAATGCAATTTTTTCCAAATAAATTTGACGAATGTTTGTTGAAAGTTAACGACGGGGGTGAAATTGTCTCAATTTTAATTGTTTAGGATTCAAAATGCCTCCTTTTAAAATTTTAGAATTCAAATCACACTTGGACATATAGTTTAGGGTTCAAATTGCATATTAACACGTGGTAATATTGCAAATTTTTCAAGATATGAAAAGAAAGAATATAAAAAGGTAAATAACAATAATGATGATAATGATGAAATTATATAAAAGAAAGCTATAAATTATAATAATGAGTAAAGTAGTTTTTGGTGGAAATTATGATGAGTATAAATGAGGCAATGTCGAGTTAATTATTTTTGTTATTGCTAGATGAGATTTTGATAGGTTACTAGTGGTGGCAATAGAAGTGTAATATAATCTTTTGCTACAAGTGCACTTTTATATTTTTTTTTCTTGTTTGTTCTTTGACGTAATGAAATCTCATAATAATATCAGTGAAAAAAATATTATCATTCTTTGTCAGGAAAAAATTTAGAATAGATTTCTCTTCATATACTTTTTTTTCTATCTCTTTATTTATTCCTATCGTTAATTTTTAACAAATATCCATCAAATTCATTTAAAAAAAATTACACTTTAGGCCTTAAATGCAATTTTTCCCAAATAAATTTGACGAACGTTTGTTGAAAGTTAACAGTAGGGGTGAAATTATCCCAATTTTAATTGTTTAGAATTCAAAATGCCTCCTTTTAAAATTTTAGAATTCAAATCGCACTTGGACCTATAGTTTAGGGTTCAAATTACATATTAACACATGGTAATATTGCAAATTTTTCAGGATGTGAAAAGAAAGAATAAAAAAAAGTAAATAACAATAATGATGATGATGATGAAATTATATAAAAGAAGGATGTAAATTATAATAATGAGTAAAGCAGTTTTTGGTGAAAATTATGGTGAGTATGAATGAGATAGTGTCAAGTTGACTATTTTTGTTATTGCTATGTGAGGTTTTGATAGGCTATCAGTGGTGGCAATAGAAGTGTAACATAATCTTTTGCTACAAGTACACTTTCATATTTTTTTTTCTTGTTTGTTCTTTGGCATAATAGAATCTCATAATAATATCAGTAAAAAAATATTATCATTTTTCGCTAAGAAAAAATTTAGAATAAATTTCTCTTCGTACACTTTTTTCTCTGTCTCTTTATTTATCATAAAAGCATTTGGTTATGTTTTATAAATTTTCACTTTCATTAATTAATTTAAACTAAGAAACTTACACATTCCTTTAAAAAAATTTTTAAAATTGATATAATATGCAAAATATACTTTTTTTCTGTTACTATTGAATTATTATTAATTAGAGTGTATTTTTTAAAATATAAAAGGACTAATATATAATTTGGACCTTGAACTACAGGTTTAGAAGCGATTTGAATCCTAAACTTCTAAAAAGATACATTTTAAATTTTAAACAATTAAAGTTGGGACAATTTCATCTCTACCGTTAATTTTTTCAACAAACTATTATCAAATTGGGGTTTAAAGTATAATTTTTTTTAAATGAATTTAACGGACGTTTGTTGAAAGTTAATGGTATGAGTGAAATTACTTCAATTTTAATTGTTTAGGATTTAAAATGCACTAGAATTTAAATTATCTCTGGGCTTATAATTTAGAGTTTAAATTATATATTAATCTTATAAAAGAATATAAGTAAAAAAACGATAGTTTCTTCAACAATAAAAGATGGTGGGAGTATCATTTATAAACGCAATAACATTAGTTCCGCAAATGTGTGATGCCTACATACGGAATATAAGCATTGATTACATTGAGGTATCTTGGAAGCAGATATGAACGAGTCAGCTTATCGAACGCCTCCAAAAATGGAAGCAGATCTAATAAACTCGGCAACACTACAGCACTGGATTTTCTTCAATAGGCGGCGGGAGTTAGACACCCTATAAAAAATTGAAATGATGGTGCGAGGAAAAGAGACAGATTATGTAAAAAGCAGTGGGGGTAATCACAGTCGTCCATTTGCAACTCACAAGAATTAATAAAATTAAGTGTTTTGGTTCATGCAATCTGCAGTGTCCGTTTAATTGTAAGAAAACGATTGAAATGGACTATTAATGTTTCTTACTGAATCCAAATGTGATTTTTCATTTTATTAATTATGGGGCATGTGGCAGAGTTTCGTGTCAGAAGACTTACCGTGCGCATTGAAGATTACAGTGACTAAAAACCAAAGCGTGGCCCCAAGCGTCCATGATTCTTCATTCACTTGTCGTTCCATGAGCCAGATGGTAAGCCCAATGAAAGTGTGCATTGCCGCCATCACCAACCACATCTCCTTTGTGAAGGCACTCGTGAACATCCATGCTCCTTTTGATTTACTGGGCTTTACTGTTACCACCATGTCAAGCCCAGATTCAACATATGGCTGAGAAAATGTTACATAACGATATCTATATGCCATTATTTCTGTATCTCCAACAGCAGCATCAAATTCCTGTATTAGTTCATTTATTAATCAGTAGGATTAATGTATAGAAATAGGATTATAGTATGTTAAATATTTCATTAACTCCCAATTGCAGAAATAATTGTAACCAATACCTTCCTATATACTTGCTAAACCAATTCATCATAAGAGCCATTGAATGGAACAAACACATATCGCAATTGATAAGGCGGACGTCTAATAGCAGCTTTGAAGACATCAATTGAGAAACCCGTGATCGAAGTTTCATTCCGACTCTGATCATAAGTCACATTCACAAACTGGGTGAAGACACCTTTTGCAGGAACCCCTATTTTCAATGTTTTTCCCACATTACCATGAGCCCAACCCTTGGGAACTGAGAGTAAGTTTCCCGGCCAATATACGGTTTGTAAAGATCCAACAGAACCATTATTTTGGGTCGTCTGCATCGACCGATGTCTGACGAGGTTCTTAGAGAAACCAAATTCTGGAGACCAAAATGCCAAATCCCTATAGCCTTTCCCAATTACATTAATTATTTGTAAGGCTTGTGATTGCAATATTTTTCCATTTTCATAGCTAATCTCGCCACTCAGTCCTTCAAAATTACAGGCCAGAATGCTTTCTGAAAATTCCCCCCTGGAGAACTTCCCTTGTGATTTCTTTGCGGCGTGAGCAATAGCCCAAGTTGCATCATACGATCGAAGCGCAAAGATACTAGGGTTAGTGTTCTCTTCTTCAGGGTACTCTAGCGCAAATTTTCTTCGAAATTTGGATTTGAAT